TATTACTTGCGCTTTTATGTGATAAGAAAAACTATTCATTTCTAAATGTGGCATCTGTGATCTCATCGGGATGCATCAGTCTAGGCATCAGACGTACGCGCATGGGCGGATCGCATGGAGCTTCGAGTAGTATGCGTACGCAACAGAATTCTAGCGTTAGACAGTTTTGTTTGGGCAAAGATTTCAAATTAGAACAAGAAGAAACTTTGTCTTCACCTTTTCACCTGTCTTCAGTCAATTTTCAAAAATAGCTAGTCCGACTTCACGCTCCAGGAGCGTCTAGTTAGTATTAAAGTCTAAAGTCGGTCGACGTTAGGCGTTTCCCTGATGACTCGGGGTTTTGTTCAATCATGTCTGGACAAAGACCTTGGGGACAGGTGATACACACGTTTTTGCGTTTAAGAGGGGGTCCAATAAGCAAGTTTGTCCAGTCACGGGAATTGAGCGTTATTGGTCATTGTGCGCGAGTCTTGGAATAAAATTAATTCCGGGTTTTTGTACCGATCGGTGTCCAAGTCAGGCAGGATGTCAGGCGTTTGTCTCAATCTCTCTGTTGAACAAGCTAGGCTTAAGAAATATGTTTGGCCCCTGAAGCAGGTAATTGGTGATAGGCGGGTTACTTTACATAGTTTTCGAAGTGGTGCCGCAGTCTCACTGGTGCTGCATTACATGAGATAATGGATAACATAGGATGGAGGAGTAGTAAAACTGCCCTCCATTATATAAAACTTAGGCAAGTTTTGAATCCAGCTGAGGCCTCAGCAAGACTGCCGGACTTAGACCCGTCAAGTGGTAACGAATATAGAAAGCTCAATGACTTAGCTGGTTTTTCTCAGGCTTTCCAGGAGTAATAATGAAGTGTAACAATTAGTCAATATAATAATAAAATAATGTCGGGACGGCAATAACCACTAGTCTAAAATTCATTGAGATTCAAGGAAAAAAAAGCTTTAGTCACCATGTTGGATGAGCAAACCACAGCCACAGTGATATTTTCAACTTTATTTCTTACTTTCATCCAACATGGGTACGAAAATTCTGAAAGCTAAAAATTATCATTAATTATGGTATAGGATTAGGAGACTTAGGAGTGTAATGTTTGGAAAGAGATTGCGACATAATGTGTTAAAGGAATAGCAAGCTAGGATATGTGCGGGTCGTTTGATGGTACCTACATGGGCGACCGTGAGGGAAGTAGGTACTTGTCCCAGGCCAGAGTGATCCCCATACCTTATTCTAGTAACAATACCCAGGGAGAAAATAATACACTATTAATTATAAAATATTTTTCTATTATTGTTATTTATTCTTAAAAGAGGTTTCTTGACATGCCGTGTCAGTATGTATGGTATGTTTGTTTTCTATTTAAGATAAGGGTTGACCTAGAAAAAAATCACTTCTATTTTAGGGGAACCCTATATTTATACATCACACACCTCAGTCTTCCTCTCATAAATAGAACATAAAGTCCATACTATCAATGTATATTGAAAGATYTTTTATTGTCATATCTGGCTTTCTGTGGCAATTTAAAGCCATTTTAGCTATGTAAGAAGTGTTCAAAAACYAATATATAAAATATAATCTTTCTTTGAAAAATATGAAAAAACAATAACCTTCCTTTTAAGTAAAAATATCTCATAACAATGTTTGTTGTAGTCTCCTTTTGCTCAGAGTCAACCCTCTGTCTTCATGTAATGTCACTCCTAAGTTCAGTGATGGCTTATGCAAGCAAGCTAGAGGCTGCCGTTTCATGAACTGAACGTCTTTTTTCCTTTACTTGATGTAATAATCTATCTATAGGTTGCTAGTGTCTGCTGATTCTTCTTGTGATGGAGGTTTGATGTAGGGAGGAAAAACCTTYTTTTCAATTAAATTGTTTTGCAGTTTTTCCAGATATTCAGCCTTCTTTTCATGYTCCTTRAAAGCATACTGCCACAACTTYCTTACAAGTCTCCTAAAATGCTTTGTCTTGCTTGTCTCCAAGTACGTCTTCATRCAATCCTCAATTTCTTTGTATCTGGGGATAAGTTCTAATATACTGCCTAGTGGTTCGCCCTTAAGAACATTGACTAATGTGCTTCCTAAAAGTGATTCTATGCTCATGTTTGATCTCAGCCACAGTTTGATGTTAATCAGCCCTTCATAGTGATTCTTAAGAGATGTTAGGTCATCTTGTTTTCCATACAGGACATAGTTTCTAGAAAAAAATAGTTCAAAGTGAATTGTAAGTCACTGTGTGGAACTTCCTCCACTGAATGTTAGAGTGCTAAATAAAAACTAAATAGAGCAGAGTCACTTGAACCATGAAATAGAAACTAAATACTTAGTTACTAATAGGCACTATTTAGACAGTACCACTGAACCAGAACAGTACAAAGAGATTACTTTGATTGTTAAAGTGGTCTCTTGGGTATTGCTTATTGGATCAAATCAACTGTTCTGGTTCAGTGCTAACGACTATTAGGAACTAATAGTGCCTGTTAGTACTTTTTAGTTCTTGTTTCATGGTTCATGTGACTCTGCTCTAGTTACTACCTAATAGTTCTTATTTAGTGAATATTAGTTGTTATCACTCAAATAACTGGAACAGTTGTAATGCGGTATTGTTTCCTTTGTATTTCCCAAGTGTACAGAATGTATTGTTACTAAGACTGTTCATAGTGAGTAATAGCATCCAAATAAAAACTATTTAGATTTTATTTCATGGTCATAGTGTAAGCACTCTACTCATGGTCAAGAATAGCCTGCAGGTTCAGGCTCTCTCGAAGTGATTTGGGGCGGAGTGAGAAACGTTTCACTGCCCCAATCCCCTTTGAGAGAGCCTGATACTCAGGCTGGGTAAAGAAATATTGCAGCAAGGAATGGCAGCAAGTACTCATAGACTCTGATTCATGCTATTCTAAGATCACCAGAATCTATAGCAGCTTCTAGCCATTCCCAATTTTTAAAAGATGAATCACTCAATTTAAACAAACATTGTGCATAATATTGATAAACAAAGTGAATTTTAATAGGCAATGTGCAGCAATGAAATTTTGTGCAGCAAAGGTAGTTGTAGTAGTCATCCATTTTTACTTTTGCTAACACAGACATTCTGAAATGTTTTTGTTTTTCKAAGTAGTTTTGTCAACTTTACAAATTAATCCTAAAGAAAGTCTACTACCATCATACTTTGCTGCATAAAATGGCRTCACTGCACTGCATTGCCTATTGAAATATAATAATAATAATAATTTCTTCGACTAAACATTTTTACAGGTGCATAGCCTGAGCACCAGTCTCTCTCAGGAAAGGAGGCAGAGGAGGATTGGGGAAAGTGCAAAGAAACAAAAACTATTTGTTCTTCCACCTTACCTCCCTCCTTCGATCCTCTCTCAGAAGGTTTAATATTCAGCCTTAAATGTACATGTACAAGCGTAGACCTACCTATAAGATTTCTTCTCATGCAATCCTTCAAACACAAAGCTAATTTTCAAATGTTCCTTAGTTTCTTCCTGCCATTTTTGAACCTCCTCAATTCTTGTAAGATACTCTTCAGCAATATCCACATATTCATTGAATGYRATAAGCCTTAATTTTGCTACTTTTCTTAGCCTTTTGTAAACAGGAACAAAAATAGCATCTACAACCTTTGATAAACTGGAGTTGGGCTTGTAAAAKTCTTTAATGCCTTTCACAAATCCCACGTAGCTCTTCACTTGTTCAAGACCAGCCTTATGAAAGTGACCTAAAAGAATAAGAAAACACACATAATAAATATCATAAATATAATAATCAGGGCTCGAAATAACGGCCAGACATATGCAGGACTAGATGTCCTTCCAAATTCATTTTTGGAAGGTTATGTCAAATTTTGAAAGGACAAAAACGTTAATTATACTATTATTTTCTTTTAATTTAGAGCCTTTTGTATTCAGAAAGATCKGCAAGCATTTTAATGGCTTGTAAAAGATTTATTTAGCAAATGAGAATTAAATGTTGTTGTTTTTTGTTTAAAAATGTGTGAGGTCAATTTGTCCTTTGTAAACCTGATTTGGCTGGTCATCTAGCAAATTTGGAAGGACATTGTCCTTTGACCGGCYGTTATTTCGAGCCCTGATAAATATTACGTCTAGTAGCAATGAATGCTCTTTACAGAAGACCATTTCATGTACAGTTTATTGTAATTATTTGTTATCAACACTCCAGTTTCGAGTTCAAAGCGAATAACCGCTGTTTTACTTGACAGCAGATTCTATTACRCAAAGAACTTACCAAAGACAAAAGAAAGCACGAGAAAATGTTGTTAATACAATAGAGCGCTAAGAATCTACATTTTCCCCGAGTTGAGGCTAACCCTGCTCATACCTTAGGTCTTATGGGAATACAGGGATAATCTCAACTCAGGGAAAATGCAAATTTTCAAGTCTATTGTAATAACGGCATTTTCTCGTGCTCTCTTTTGTATTTGGTCAGGTCTTTGCGCAAGAGAATCTGTTGTCAAATAAAGCAGCGGTTATTCGCTATGAATTCGAAACTGGAGTACTGAGGAATTCACTAATTCACTCAGATATCTGTGGGAGGATTATATAGGAAGRCTTGAGTAAGTACAGTATTAAAACACTTTCAACTGATTCATTTGCACAACTATTGCTTTCCTTAGCAGCCTCTTTTGAAACAGATATAATACCTTTTATAAAATCCATTCCAACATCATTGGGCATAGCTGATAGAGAGCTTTTACTCAGCCCAATATCYGAACACTGCGTGATTGGTGTATCAGTCAATAAAATAAGCTTAGCTGAAGGATTGTCATCTATGTACCACCTCAAATCATTGGACCTTGAAGTCATTGAAGCTGACACAAAATGCTGGCAAATTTTCTTTTGATTGCGAATGCATCTCTGAAGCACAGCTTCTTGAAATTGTTTTCGATCGTCAACTCCAAGTTTGGATTTGATAGTATCTATTGTTACATCTTTACGAGGACCACGTGCATGCAAGCGACTCTTTGTGATTTCTAGAACAAGCATARAGAGACATATTCAATRTATATAACAAACAACATTTATTTCTGTTGTCTCATTTGGCAGCCATCATGAGACTTGCTCCCAGGTCTCTCCCCTGAGARTGAGCCTTATACCAGCTATCAGAGGAGTCTGACTAGTATTCCTGATAAATATATTATATGTCCAATAACAGCCAGTCAGTGGTCCATATCTTGATGCCAAAATCCAACAATTCTTCATGATGCACACTTACAGGACTTTGTAGCTGCACAATATATGTCTAACACTTAAACTGGAAGTACTGTAGCTTATGAATTGAAAAATATTCTTATTGAATTTAATAAGCAAGAAAAAGTTTTTTTTTGCTACAGTTAAGCAGTTTTTCTTGAATCCAGATGAATGGAATCCTAGATATTTTATATCTTAGTTTCTGCAGGGCCCTTCGGCCTTGTTTCCTTACTGTTATTTTCTATTGTTTTCGRAAAAAATTCTGGCTTACGTCATAAGCATCTAAACTAAACAATAAAATATTATATCATAAAATACAATAACATTATTTCTCACCCCAGGTTCTTTTGAGYCTTGAGTTAGTGCATCGCCAGAAACCAGTTCTAAGACTGAATCCTTTTGAGCCCTCTTCCAGAAGAACCCCCCAATGGCAGTAATACTCAGGAATATAGGTCCCATATTGGTGATTTGCTACAATCGCTCTGTATTTGTAGATGAGTTCATAGATAGATGCAAATGACTGGAATGGACCTTTGACTTGCAAATCAAAAKTGTAGTCGTTCTGATAACAGAAAAAACAATGGATGTCAGAAWACTTCATCTGTCGTTTGCATTAGTACACGGCCAGCCCCAAGAAGAGCTTTAAGTTCTGTTAAAACATTTTCTTTGACATTAAGCTTTTTAAAAGTTTTATTCAAAGCTGTTTGGCTGATTGGGCATTGCACTTCGGAACTTTTATCTGAATTTTATGCAATCTTTAGTTAAAAATCACTKAATTCTCTCTTCATTTCGTGAATCTTCTACAATGTAGTTACAAACAATGAATTGTTGTTTATAGCTATCGATACCTTTTCAAAATGAGAGTAGAAATCAACAACACCTGACATTTTACCACACTTTGATCGAGTAAAATTGCTGTTTTTACAGCTGATGTCATGTAAACACGTTCAAAAACTTTTCTGCACTGCTTTTAAGATTCGTATATCCAAAGCCATCAATAACATAAGTAAAATATAAGGCAAAAACATGGCAGGCAGATACGAGATACAGATCAAAGGTCTGCATGCCCTTTGTAAACTCACCATGCAAAGTCGCTTCCACAACACATCGCAACCAAAAACCAAGTCTCTTAAATGCTTACAAGTTTCACYAACATTGAGAACTGACTTTGCCGATAGTTTTGACAATATCATCGTCAAAATTTCAGGGCTGAGACTACAAATATCCCGCGAACTTGAAGTTGCAGACGCCATGTTGTAAACAAACACCGCAGATGCAAAACCGCGCGAAAAAATTTTGCCGTGAGGGATTGGGATTGAAAGATACGACACAGGAATCCCATGGTCAGACAAAGACTCTGCTTTCTATTCCTGGTTCTCTTTTTACAGTAGTCTTTACATGTAAAAGTGAGCTTTATTTTAGAAAGATGAATCTGAAAGTGAAGAAAGAGTAATGAAGAAGCTTGTCAGCTTGGTGGTGTACATGTATTTGGAGACAGTGCATTTCTAGTAAAAGATGCAAGTATAAATTATGCCTGCTATATGCTGGTCTATGAGCAAGTGATTTTTAAAACTCAAATTAAAATTGCTCTCATTTCTTTCAATTTACTTTTATTACAATTTACAATATATAATCCTGTAATTGAATAACATTTTATAATTGTCTCTTTGAATACAACATTTTTTTCAATTTTGGCAATATGTTCATCATCGAAGCAGTAACTGAAGGCTTTTCATGTGAAAAGTTCCTTTCTGCAATCATGACTACATCTGATATTTCATCTATAAATAGCTAACTTCTTTTGTAAGGAGGGGAAACCTTCTTTGCTTTTAGATCTCCTTGTAGCTTGTACAAATGTTCTGCCTTCCTTTCRAGTTTCCTTGTTGCATACAGCCATAACTTTTCTATGAGCTTCCGAAAATGCTTCTTTTTTCCTGTCTTTAGATACACTTTCAAGGAATCTGCAATTTCCCTGTATTGACGAATGGCTAAAACTAAACTGCTGATGGGGTCGCCTTTAAGGACACTAACAATGGAACTTCCTAAAACCTCTTTAATCCACATATTATGAAACAGCCATATTTTGATGTTGATCAGCCCTTCAAAGTGATTCTTTAGAGATGTGAAATCATCTTCCTTTCCTTGCAAGACATAATTTCTAAGACAGAATATAATTCATAATGAGTTGCTAGATATTATCAAATATGAAATTAAGAGGAGATGAAAAGTGGAAAACCAAACAAATAAAAAAGGAAGTAGAAATAAAGAAAACTATGACAGAAGCAATGGATAAAGTATAATAATAATCGCTTATAGATTATCATCCACACTGCGACAATAATATAAATCATTACATACATGTATTTATTCACCACAGTTTGGACCATTACATCATCATGTACTTTACTATCTGGCAAAAACTCTACTAGATCACACACTTTGACACCTACTTGTAAGCTTCATTCTCTGAAATTCCACTGAAGTTACCAGACCTGTAGGTAACTTCTAAATCTTGYTCAAYATCATCCTGCCATTTTTCAATCTCCTTGACTCTTGCAAAGCATTCCTCAGCACTTTGACAGTATTCCAATGTAGAAATAAGCCKTAACTTTGCTGTTTGTTTATGCTTTTCATAAACATCATTGCAAATAGCATCTATAATCTTTTCAGGTGCATGTTTTATATCCCACTTGTAACAGCACTTTGCAGTATTCACAAATTCCACATAATTCTTCACTTGTTTAATGCCAGTCTTGTGGAAATGGCCTAGAAAAAAAAATAAAAACATATTTTATGCTTTGCTATTGTATAAATGGTGATGCACCCCACTCCCGGAAGGGTCGTCTTTGTAGCAGATACGTGCGCTTGGATGTCAGTTTAAAAAAAAGTAAAAAAGGTTGTCTATCAGGTTCATTGAGTGGTTGTGCTTTTCAGTTTGGCACGTTATTACACTATGGATATTATAACACTTAGTTAAAAATATTCAATAATAATGCTTTGAAAAGGCTGCTCAAACGTTTCCAAAAAAAGGAATCACAAACGTTTCTGAGGAAAGAGGGGATCAAAATAAGTAAGAAGACAGTTTCAAGTCTCAACAATAAATTTTTCAAAATTGATAGCAAATATAGAATCACTTTTTTTCTATAGAAACATGCACAAAACCCCAGACCCCCTGCTCTTTCCMTTTATGAACATCATTTTGTCATTGCTGATTGATTTAAGTTAGCTGTGGTCACATGACACTCAGCTGCAAATGGCCTATTGTCTTKGACATGAGTGACACCTTGCACATGACCATGCATTGTATATGGATGGGTTACATCGGACAGTGATATCTTAAGGCATCTTGCATGTACTGTATTCAACACTCAGTTTATAAAGAAAATAACMTACCTTTTAAAAAATCCATTACAATGTCAGCAGGCATTCTTTCAATGTCACTATCATACAGTTTGTTCACATCAAAATCGTCCAGATAATCTGGAATTGGTGTCTTGGTCATCAATATTGCCTTAGCATCTTGGTGTTTTATTATATACAACACAAAGTCATCGCACCGTCCCATTATAGCTGCTGACACAAAATGTTTGCAAATTTTCTTTTGATTGCGAATGCACCTCTGTAGAACAGCTTGYTGAAATTGCTTTCGATCAACTGCTGCCAGTTTGGATTTGATAATATCTATAATAGTTACATAGTKTCCAGATTTCTGGCTGTCGTTATCTGTCATGTCATTTTTTGTAATATCTGAAACGAAAACAAGAGGGTAAGTTACCCTGCGAACAGAGTAAAAAATCCTGCTGGTGGGAGCAGGGGGTGGGTATCSTTTGTGATGATTATTTTGGACTGCGACCCTTGCTGAGAAGCCCTGCAACCCTCCATAAAGACAATCATGGATGTTATATTCCTAGAGCCACTAAGGCAAGACTAAAGACTCAAAACAAGACAAGACAAACTAGACAACGCTTCGCTTTCACATACAACCTGGTTCTCTTCCATTTTCTCCATCTGTCGGCTACAACTTCCGCCGAACCACTAAGGTCAAGTGTTGGAAGTTGCTTTGGCATCCTCGTCGCCAATGTTATATTCCTAGAGCCACTAAGGCAAGACTAAAGACTCAAAACAAGACAAGACAAACTAGACAATGCTTCGCTTTCACACACAACCTGGTTCTCTTCTCCCTCCTTAATCACGTGACATATTTACATATTCCACAGGGAATCCAATACACTACAATGGATCAGCCCCAGAGATACATGCATGTTTATTTACAATGTCTAAGTACCTACCCCAGGTTTTTTKGAGTCTTGATTCTGTACACAGGAAATAACCAGTTGGATTGTCTAGACTTATAGATGTTCTTGTCCCTTCTTCAAGGAGAACACTCCAATGACAGTGGTACTCAGATACATACCAACCAAATACATGATTTTCAACTATCACTTTRTACTTGTAGATTAGCTGATAGAGAGATGCAAATGACTGGAATGGCCCTTTGACTTGCAAATCAAAATCGAAGTGATTCTGAAAATTATGAAACGAAAATGGTTGCCATGTGCACATCAGGACGCTTTTTCATAAACAAAAAGAAAAGTTAGCTATTTTTACAAGTAAAACGTTAAGAAACAAATTTCGATTAATTTATTCGATTGATTAAAAGTATCGGTGCAGATAAGTAAGTCGCAAAATTATCATAAGGTTGAATTACTCACCATGCAAAGTCTCTTCCACAACACATCGCAGCCAAAAACCACGTCTCTCAAATGCCTGCAGGTTTCACTGACATTAAGAACTGAYTTTGCTGGAAGGCTTGACAATATCAGAGTTAATAACTCAGGACTAAGACTGAAAATATCAAGCAAACTTGAAGAAGCCGTGTTCGACGCCATGTTGAAACCAAACACCCCGCACAAAACGCGGGAAAATATTGATCGAGAGAGATTGGGACTGATAAACATGAAAACACAGGAGGTCGATCCAGGAGGACAAGGTTTTTACGGTCTGTAAAACTCTTTGATTTGCGAATAAACTATCATGTACTTGCTGAAAGCAGTTTCTTTTTTGACAGTGCCAGAAGATATGGGATATTACATGGGCGTGGACAGATACAGATTTTATCAGCGAGTGTTGAAAACCCAAATGAATGGAAGGAGTGAAAAAAAAAAAGAAAAAAAGAAAAAAGAGAATGGAGAGTGGAGACTTCTGCAGGTTTAACAAAGCAAATTTTGCCACAGACTCGTGACGACAGCAGTAGACACTCATGATAAATATTCCAGCAAGAAAGTGCACTACTGCGCTTGCGTTCTTCTCTGGTCCATCTGGTTTTACCGACAGCTGTAGTACAGTTTCTTTTAATAGTATATCTGATCAATAAGTTCAAGTTGTTGAGCTGCAAGATGTTGTACAAGGACAAGAGATAACGAACTATTGAAAAATAATAATTAAGTCGAGTTCTTACTGATATATAGGTCGTAATGTTATGACAACTTGAAAAATATAGTTAATGAGAGTTGAAATGTTTGACGGGCGGCAGCTGTTTCAAGCCTGTTTACATTTTATTRCTTCAGATAGATTCGAGCCAGAGTGGAGGAGACAGTCTCCCTGTACATTTTTCACTAAAAAGAGTGAATAATACATACTGATTATAATAGGAAAAAGAAGGAAATTATCAGGAGGTACTCGAACGTGGGTGTGGTTACCGTGCCGAATAACTTCCGGTTCTKGTCGGGTTTCCTGTTCCTCATTCCTTCTCGGCTACTTTGTTGCAAGAGACTTCTCTTGGAATCGTGCGCTTCAGTAGGCCTAGTCGACTGCTGGAGCGTGAACCCTGATTTKTATCTTGACATAGCTCTCAAGTTAAGGCGACTATGGCTATATCCTGTTTAGTGTTATTGCTGGGTTTGAGCTCACAAATAGGTTTTCTCGACGCGAAATGTCAAGGTGGGTAAAATTGTGTTTACAAACACGTGTTACAGCTGTACCATAGAGAGCTTTCTCGAGAGATTTTTTGACCGGATAAAATGAACAGTTCATATGTAATGAATTTGATCTCAATATAGTAAAACTTGAGCTTTTCAACTCTAAACGAAATGGTTTGAAGGCAACTATAGATCACTGGATCTCTGGAATTTTCACATGAGTAACTAACTGCTCAACAAACATGTCTTCTCAACAAGCATGTCAAAAGCAAATTTAATCGATCTATTGAGTCTCAGGTTTCGGAAATCATCAGAGCAGAATCGACGGAGAGCATAATATTTGTACTTAACTTCTTCCGTCAGGAAGCTTTAAACCTCTTTTTGCAAGCTGTGYTCACACAAGAAAATATGAATATTACTAAGCTCTTTGGTATGMGCGATAACATCTTTGAATAATAATTAAGTCTACTAGACAGAATATGTATWAACCGATTGTGCCAGGTGTTTTTGAAAATGAAACAAAAATTTGATTAAGAAATATCTTGATTATTAAGTAACAATGCGCTTAAGAACTAGGGAACTCTCTATTGTTCTGCGGCATTGCAGCTTTCCCACGTATGAATGTCTTGGTTTTCACACTGATTAATATATAACACATTTTTGAAATAAAATGTAGATAAACTCTATTTTGAAACAGAGTTTCTTTTGTATTAAAAGCTCTTATCCAATCATAAGCACTCAAAACAATAGCCAAAAGATGCTTCTAATTTGCAATGTTCCCCACATAGAATTGCCTTAATATTGAAGCTAAAGAAAGCTTTCATGAAAGTGAAAACAGACATCAAATAAAATAAAATTATAGCAGATTTTCATGTTTTAACCAATGGATGGATTGATTAATATATACAATGCAAAATTAGCACCTTCTTGCATTCCTTTGCCTTTTGAAAAAACAATTTGAAATCTCGTATACGTATATCTGTAATTGCGAGCTTCTAAGCGATTTTAATTCCGAGCCCCTTTCTTTTAACTTATAAGACTTAAGTTACTGTAATTTGCATACCCTTACAAAGTCCGTTTTCAATTATAAAAATCTTGGTATGAAACATGTGCTGAAGGAATTCTTAGTAGGATTTTATGATGAAAACAGTGTTTTTAAATTATTTTTAATAAATATGTTTGAACATGATGCTATATATTTAACTTTTCCTGTACAATATTATAAATTTAATCAAGATTTGGCTAAAGGTCAAGTCATGTCAATSAAGACCTTAATTTACATAAATATTTGACAGTCTTGTGATCTTAGTGTGTTTTGTCATGATTTTTAATTAATTTTTGTTCTATTTTGTTTGTTTCCCTTAATTCCAAATGTTTAATTTTTTTTTCATAAGTTTCTTAATTTCTTTTTTGTTCCTTCTATTGTTTTTTAATATTTCTAGCATACATGTACATCTTCCTTGTCCACATTTTTTTAAAATGATTTTTCTCAACATATATTGACAATTCTACAATGATTACATGAGCTGTTCAAACAAGTGTATGCTTACAGTCATCCAGAAACTATTAAATCTATGTTAAGCAGATAATTGAAAAATCTACCATTTCTAGACTGAAATACTGTATAGTGACCTTGAGCCACAATTTTCTAAGAAAACACTGAACTGCCACTGCATTTGAATATTTGTGAGTGTTCTCTGTGTTCCTATCAGTAATGATCAATACTGTTTCACATTCGTATAAGCATTAATTTAGACTACAATTTTCTAAGAAAATACTGAAATGCCACTCAGCAATTGTTTTATTTGTGACAGTTCTCTATGTTCTCTGTCAGTGACAATCCATACTGTTTCACATTCGTATAAGCATTAATTTAGACCTCAGGCCACAGTTTTCTAAGAAAACACTGAAATGCCATTGCAATTGTGTATTTGTGACAGTTCTCTGTGTTCTTTGTCAGTAATTATGATTCAATCTGTTTCGCATTGTACAAGCATTTGAATAAAAATGATTTTAGGACTTAGATATTCTCAGAGTTATGTTTATCCAAAATAAATTAGCCCCAACATATTAATTGTTAATTACATGTATAAATGATTTTTGTAGTCACAGTATGCTGAAATGCAAGGAGTTTCTGTACATGTATAAAAAAAAAAGGAGAAAAAGAAACTGAGAAATTGAACTGATTCAAGCTACATGTATATCCTGTTATCGACATTTATGTAGTTTTTCATCCTTTTTTTATCTATTTCAATTCCCTTCTTTTCATTCATTTCAGATAAGTATTCTGGTACACCTTCATCGTGTTGCCCTGATGAATATTTTCATCTCTGCTGCAAAAATATCAAACCTTGCAATRCTACAGTTAGGATACCTRAGAAACYTCAACCTTCAAAAAGTTTCAATCTTGKGAAACCACCTTGCATGCACCCTTGGAATACCTCAGCTTGCCAGGCAGGCTTCTATGAGGACCCATKGAGACGGGAAACAAAACCATGCCCTGATGGTAATAGGAAATATCATTTTATAGAAATGTTGGTTACAAAAACACTCCGACTTGTTAAATGCAACATATTATTTGTCACATCCGCTATGATTTGGCATGACAGTTTATTAAACTTGTTTCAAGAAAAATAGCCTGATGTACATCCAATTCCACCTCTCTTTCTCCTATGGGGAAAATTCACCCAGAACTGGAATTTTTCCTGTAGGGGAGRAGGAAGGGGACGGATGTATTCAGACTACAAGAAAAAATACTAATAAATAAGTCCAAAAAAGGAGACCATTTGATTCATATGCTTTTTGTATCTCATATTTTTCCATYKTAAGTTAATTACGGGGTATCAAATGGTAAAATCCCAGCCYMTTTCTTTTAAGCGCCAAGCTTGCAAACCTTGGGAAATTTTTGGCCAACCTCGCGATTTCTGAGACACCATTCTATACTCCTTTAATTGATTTTTTTTGCATTGAGCATTTTCCACATTATATCCCATTCTTAGTGATTCAATGTAAATGTCATTGATTTTAAATTTGATTGTTTATGTTATGATTCAAGGGTTTTACTGTCCATCTGATAATGTGTGCATCATTCCCTGTCCTGAAGGAGCATACTGTATGAAAGATAAACTGGTGACAGCCACGGTAAGTTTTTCTTGTGCACTTATACACCAAATTGAAACCATGGCATACCAATAATTATTTATTCACAAGAAGCTTCCTTAATGGCTTTCAATTTGGTAACCTTTTTTCTATTCTTATGCTGTGCTTGATGACCTTAATTTTTTTTATGCTCTGAATTTTCCACATTTACCCGATTTATGTCCACTGATCATTGTAGATCTATATTTAATTTAAGCTTGTTCTTAGATTCTAAAAAATTAGGAGTGTAACAAATCAAATTTATTTTTTTCTTTTTAATAGAAAAGTTCTCCAGTTGTCTGTAGACAGTCTGGAAAGTGTTGCAGTCCATCAAACTCCATTCCCATTTACAGTCGTGAAAATAATAAGATGATTTGTGGAGGTCAGACAATCCCCACACCTTGCCCTGAAGGGTATTTTTGTCCTAATGTTACAACCAAGAAARTATGTCCAAAGGGAAAGTTTTGCCGTGAAGCCTTTACAGAACCACAGAATTGTCCAGTAAGASATAGAAGTATAGAATTATATTTACACCCCAAACCATAAAAATGTGGCTGCTGTTAATGTATTTGCATACTCTAATGTCTTGCTGTTGTAGGATTGTGATATTTTGTCCAGAATTAAGACACTTATTGGACTGATATGAGACAGACGTTTGTGAATGTATTATTATCAGTGGCCACACTTTTACTCAATATAAATATCTTAGTTGTCTCTAGCTTAATTTTTTAATAAATAGACGTTTCGATCTCGTCTCAGATCTTCTTCAGTGCAAGTTAATCGATTAAAAAATTATGTATGTGCATGTTATCTCTTGAAGCTTCGCACACGCTAATTTTCACAACATGCTCGCAAACTTTTTTTAATGGATTTTATTTTTTTCCCCAGATACTTTCAGTTTGCAAGAAGGGAGCTAAAGCCCCTGTCAGTGCAGGAGCTGGAGTTCTGTTTATAGTCATTCTTTGTCTATTTTTCATTGCACTWATCTATTACTTCCGCAAACGGGACACTGTCCATTTCTATGCAAGAAAACTGCGGTATAGGGTTCTCAGGAAGAGAGATGACAAGTACAGTATATCAAAAGGATTTTCAAAACACATGAAAAACATAGCACAGGTCGAGGTSGACGGTGGAGAGACCATTGTACCAAAGCAAAATATCATCAACTTGGAGTTTGATCAGCTTAGTTTAACTTTAGAAAAGGTGAGAAGGATATGTTTTGCATTCATTCATTTATTTGCACATATTATTCGTTCGCAAGTTCATCCACCCATCCTTTCTTCCATTTTCCCATAATCTACTCTCATTTAATCCTTTCAGCTGAATAAGAAAGTGCTAGAAGGTGTTACAGGTAAGATCCAGGCAGGGGAGGTGACAGCCATCATGGGYCCATCAGGAGCAGGAAAAACCACGCTTCTGAATACGTTGAGTGGAAAGGCTTACTATGGGGTGAGTCCTACTCAAATTATTATCATCTCTTTACTCCGACGAAGGATTAACGTCCGAAACGTCCCTAAGTTTCACTACTTTTTTATGGTGTTGAATTTATCTTTTTACACAACTGTTTCTTTAGAAAATGGTGGGAACTAGTGGTAAACTAGTGTGAGCTGCGTCTGTGTTTCTAAAGAAACAGTTATGTAAAAAGATAAATTTAACACCGTAAAAAAAGTATGTGAAATAACTTTAAAACTGACGTTTCTTTAGAAACACTGACACAGCTCACACTAGTTTATCACTAGTTTCAACCAAATTATGTACCCATAAACTGATTTGTGGGATAGATTAAAATGGATTTTAGCAAGTGGCAATCTGAGCAATTTTTATGGTTACAAAATAATTTGAATGCTCATATTTGTGCAGAAACGCGAGGGTCAGATAAAGATCAACGGCTTAGAAGTTGATGACCTGAAGTCCATCAAGACAATCATAGGCTTTGTACCTCAGGTAATGTCACACAATCTGTCATTCAGTCCAATGTCACACAATCTGTCATTCAGTCCAATGTCACACAATCTGTCATTCAGTCCAATGTCACACAATCTGTCATTCAGTCAGTCAAATCAATTTCCAGAAACAATTCGTTTTTTCTAAATTTAAGTCTATCACATTTTGTCCCAATAGGAGGACATTATGCATCGTTCTTTGACTATCGTCGAAGTTCTACATTATCAAGCAGAACTTAGACTTCCTTCTACTGTTTCATCAGCTGAGAAAAGACATCGTGTCAGTCAGGTATTGGACAAGAATCGTCTATTGATTACACATGCTTTTGTATGAGACTGTCCTGTTGTCTGTTTGGCAGACTGTAAGACGTATTCTAAATAAATGTTTTTGGTATATTTTCCAATGTTTTTCTTGTTGTCACTTTATTTATTTTGCTTATTTTACTTGCAGATTATTGATCTTCTTGATTTGACTAAAGTCAAAGATACAAGAATTGGCGATGAGGTAATAAT